TTCCATCTTCTTTTAACGCTCCTTGGATCATTCAATATTCTGCCCATAACATCCTTACGTATTACAATTCGAGGGCTTGAATTTTTTCTTCAGTTCCTTCATCTTAAGAAATTCCAAGAGAGTTCAGCCCTTTTGATTTTCTGATCCACACAGATAGCTAGAAATATACATGCACATTATATGAACATATATATATATATGTGTGTGTGTATATATATTATGTGCATATTTTTTTGTGTGTATGTGTAACTCTAGTGGTATATGTTTATCTCTCTCTGTTTCTGTGTCTATGTGTATATACACACATACACACAGAGCTCTAGGGGAGTGATCTGCATGGAGCTGTAATGCTAATGCAAAGGTCACACCTCTCTGGGGATACAAGTTCACCAAAAGCTCCTCAAGAGAAATATGAGCAGTCCCTCATGTAATTTATACCCTTAGAAACTCAAAGACGGGTCAGTTATGAGCTTAACGTGAGATATATATATATATATCTACTTTTCTTAGTTGATTTTGTTGTTGTTGAGAACAGATATGGTAAAACATATACCAATTCAACAGTTTCTACATGAACCATTTAGTGACCTACCTACAATCCTTGGCTTGTGTAACCATACTGAAACTCATCTTAATTCCATGCCCAGGGAACTAAGAACCTTGCTCAAGCTTTGACAACATCTTTGCTGCCACCTTATTTTATACAATCAATAAAGCACAGGGAGCCAAAATGCAAACAGCTTCAATGTGGGCAAGGAGGCAACTAATACACATAGAGTAAAGAGTTTACAACTCTGTCCTTTGGAACTTTAAACGCAACTGAACAAAACTTCAGCTCATCATCTTCTTCCTACACCTGTTTTCCATGCACATTCTTATTTCATCTACTTAAGACAGCAGTCTAAATGCCATCCCATCCCATCAATTACTGTCTTGTCAATTTCACCTCCTACATATTTTTCACAGTCCCTCCTCTGCCTCCACTGACTCTGTCCCTGCTTGTCTGGAAGCTAATATAATATCTTCACTAACTGTCCAACCCACTGCTGCTGTTGTTGTTGGGTGCCATCAAGTAGAGAATGACTCTATGAACATCAGATCTGAACACTGTATCATCTTGAGCCATCTTCATCATCTTTAACACACTTGAGCCCATTGTTGTGGTCACTGCGTCAATTCTTCTTACTGAAAATTTTGCTCTCTTTTGCTGACCCTCTACCTTTCAAAGTAGCATGTTCCTTTCTAAGGAATTGCTCTGCCAACATGCCCAACATGTACAAAGTATGTGAGATGAAGCGATGCCATCCCTGCCTCCAAGGACAACTCTGGTTGCACTTTCTGTAAGACATATCTGCTTGTTCTCTTTATTACAAGCTGTTGTGTTAGAACTGAGTCACAGCTGACCCTCTCATGGGTTTTCAGATGCAGTGAAACACACAGAAGATTTTCCACCTTTCTCCCATGGAGAAGCTGGTGGATTTGAACTGTGTGTCTTCTGGTTAGGAATGCCACTCCTCACCATTAACCCATCAGAGCTACACAACACACATACACACATCTGATTCATTAGTGAACGAAGAGTACACTGTCCCAACAACAATAGCAAAGTTCAACAGAGCAGCAAACAATAAGTGCTGGTGAGGTTGTGGAGAGATTAGAATTCTTACTCAATGCAGTGGGAGTGTAAAATGGTGCAACCACTATGGAAGATGGTCTGGTGCTTTCTCAAAAAGTAGGAAATAAAATTACCATCTGAAAAAAAAATATTATTTGAGTCAGCAATTCTACTACTAGAAATACACCTTAAAACCAGAGCCATCACTCAAACAGAACCCAAATGCCCATCAACAAATGAATGGAAAGAAAAGCTATGGTATATTCACACAATGGAATACTACACAGCACTGAAAATCAATGAACTCATAAAACATTACACAACATGGGTGAAAAAAGTGGATAGATAACGAACACTGCATTGGAACAGAAAAAGAAAAGAATTTTTTAAAAGGAATACAAGAGTCCGGAATAAGAGGTGCATGGCAAAGTGGACTGAGGAAGAGGGGAATGAAAAGGGGAAGCAGGGAAACATGCAGCAATGAATGAATGAAAATCCAACTTTTCTGTAAACTTCTGTTACAATCACAGTATTTTTTTAAAAAATAGTACTGCCAGCCTAAAGACAAGTGGTTTGTGTCCACCAGTTGCTCCGTGGGAGGAAGATGGTCAATCTCCTTTTGTGTGATTTGTAGCCTCTAAAAACCCTCTAAAAACCCACTAAAGGGTCGGCTAGGCATCAATTCTAACAGTATAGCACATAACAGTAACAAAAAGAAATATATGTGTGTATGTATAACATTGCTCAGGCTGTTCGTTCATAGGGTCACTATGAGCCATCTACGACTCGATGGCACCAAACAACAATAACAATGACAAAGACAAAGAGAGAGCTACGCTGGCCTAGTGGAAAGGAAGTTATGCTACCAAGCCGAAGGTGGGTGATTTTCATCTGCGGCCCTTGGCTAGGTTCAAATTGTTTTCCTGTCAAACGTTCTTCTAGGTGGTATAGCACTGGTCTGTGCGTTTCTGTACAGAGGTAACTCATGGTTGCTGTGATGCTAAAGCCTGTGACAGTGATGTGCCAGTCGTGGTAATGGGCACCCATGGTGGACAGTGTTGGCTGGAGCTTCCCAACTAAATCAAGCCTGGAAGCAGGAGCGGCATCCACTTCTGAAATGGCTTGCCTCCGGAAACTTACGAACAGTGCTCAGGCCGTTCGTTCACAGGGTCACTATGAGTCGTCTACGACTCGACGGCACCAAACAACAACAACAACGATGTATAAATCAATCAATAAATATTTGAAGAAATTAACAGAAAATAAAAGAAAAAAGTAAGTTGTTTTAGCTTCAGTCTCACATTCAAATTAAGCATTAAGCATTAAGACTAAAGAAATAACCCCCCAAAAAAAGATCAGTTTGGGACCCTTTCTTCTGCTCTGTCAGATGGGCATACAGTATCTAAACCTACTAGGGTAAGTGGGAACCTATCTGATTTAAAATGGGTTCCCCTACCCTTACATTGTGAAGGCAAGAGTGGCATCCACTTCCTAACAACATGCCTCTGGAAACTCTATGAACTTTGATAAATGTTATAGTTGTAGAGGGGCTTCAGCCCTTTTGTTCATTGCTTGACTCAAAGGCAATCAACAAAAACCACCACCCTTACATTAGGGAGCTCTGGTGGCCTAGTGGCAAGAAGCTGCACTACAATCGTGAAAATATGCAGTTATAGGCCATCAGCTGCTCCAAGGAAGAAGGATGGGTGATCTCCTCCCATGTGATTAACTGCATCTGAAAACCTGCTGGAGGGTCAGCTATGGGTCGGTTCTGACTTGACGGTACACAACAACAACAACACCCCCTTTACATTTCCCTTCCCTCAGGTTTTAGGGATAAAAATGCTCATGGATCTTGAAAAGACTGTCAAGCAATAGTGGGTTTCCAAATAAGGCATCTAGACAAACTTCTCATTGGAAGAATGAACTAAAAAACTTTCCTGTGAATGAAATATTATTTCTATTATTGCATCATATTAAATTGACACATACCTGACTGACATCTATTGTCACTCCATGCACATCACTAACATGAGTATTTATTGACTATAATTTAGTGGATATATTACTTCACATGGAGAATGACGCATCAGTGGGCAGCTTTGACTAATAGCTACAACAATGAAGATGGAATTTAAAGACAAAGTCAAAGTTCCAGTAGACTCTGGTGTCTAATAAGAGCCCAGAATCACACCAATGGTCTTTCTCTCAGCTCAGCCATTAACTGGCAGGGCCATCGGGACTGCGGCACTTACCTTCTCTACGAGAGCCTGGCTATTTCTCTGTAAAATGGAAACACTTAAGTCTGCCCTCTCCACTGCACAATTGTGGAGAGGGTCAAATATTGGCAAAATGACTTTCAAAACTATAAAGCTATATAGAAACATAAGGAATTATCATAATTCACTATTCCCTGGTTCTGCAACCTCAGCTGAATCAAAACTCTTCTCCTCTCCTTTATATAAAGAAAGATAAGGGATTATAACCTCTCTACTACTTGAAAGGACAGCAAGAATTAATGAAGCAGTGTTAGAAAATGTATCCTCTTCTTTCTGCAGAACAAGATGCCCTGTGAACAATCTGTACTTCAAGATACAGGTTAATAATCAACAATGTTATAGCTCGATTCAAGTACCTGCCCCTAATGACAGAAATGCAATGCAGATAAGTATCTTCTTGGTCAACATAATGAAAATAAAATTTTATTAAAAATAAAATACAGTAAAAAAAGAAAACCAAACAATAAACACAAAATTATTATACCAACAAATAGCTTCTCAAATTAGCTCTTAAACAAATATATACTATGCAGGCCAAACTATTTATTAAAACAATAAAACTTCTTCTAAAATGTAAAGTATAAAAAGAAATTAGGACTTAGCTCCTCCTATGCACTAATGAGGATGTGCTGGTAAGGAGCTGCACTGCCAACGTGAAGACAGGCGGTTCAAAGCCACCAGTGGGTCCACAGGAAAAAGAAGGGCAATCACCTCCTGCACAACTCAGAGCCTCTGAAAACCTGCTGGAGGCTCAGCTACGCGTCTGTTCCAACTCAATGACAATGAGATTGTTAGTTCAGTCATGCACTGACAGTGGACTGCATAATGTGTATAATAGTTTAGTAACTCCACTGATGGTGGAGTGCAGAATGTGTTGGGCTCTAAGCCAGGGATTTGCGGTCTAAATACACTAGCCACTCCACAGAAGAAAGATGGGCAGTCTTCTCTAAAAATATAGAGCTGTGGGAGCCCGATGGAGGGTCACTATGCCGGGGAATCCACCCCACAGCAGTGGGTGTGCATGGATATCGTCATGCCTTCCCCTTATTCACACCATTCCCACTCCAACTCCCAGTTCTGCTTTGTTTCCCCTCATTAATACTCACCCAAGGTTCAGGTGTTTGAGTTTTTGGAGACTGCTGATCTGTGTGGGCAGCTCCTCAATCTGGTTATTAAAGAAGTTAAGCACTTCCAAGTTCTTCAGCTCTGCTACGTTTGGTGGCACAGCTGGGGAAACAAGAGAGCCAAGTGTGAATACGGAAACCTCTCCTCTAGCAAGGAATGCCAGCAACTCACTTTCTTTGGTTTTCATTCAAATGAAAGACAGATATAACTCCAATATAATTATGTAATTCACACAGGATTTGTATTAATTTTCCTGTAAGCTTTTCCCAGGTAATAACTCACCGACGAGTGGAAGTGTTTCTTCTTGTGAGATCAGATAACTGTCTACAATATTTGCACCAGATAGGCCAAAAGGAAGGAAGCAGCAAGTAAGAGAGGGCAAGTGAGAGACTCTTAGCCACAACAGATCATAAGTGAAAGTTAAGAGCCATACACCTGTAATTGTTATATGATGTCCAGTAAGCTCTCTACCTTCCATTCATGGCACTGTTACCAGGAGAAAGAGTAAATCTCAACTTCTTCCCTGTGTGAGGAGACATTCATCAAGCTGTTTAAATAATACGTATCTGAAGAGCTGTTGTCTCAGTGCTGCTGTAACAGAAATACTCCATAATCTCTAACTAACAGAAACTCAGGGTGTGGGCTCCAGGGGAAGGCACCTCGCTGTCACCTCTGGAAGAAGAACCTTGTCTCTTGGAGCTTCTCTTTGGCCAATATTCATGTGGCCTAACAATCACTCTTCTCCCATCTCTGCTTGTCTAATTCCTTTTTTATCTCAGAAGGGACGGACTTAACACATGGCCCAACACTAATCCTGTCTCATTACCATAACAAAAGCCAATCTATTCCCAAATAGGATTATAAACACAATCACAGAGGTAATATAGAAGTCATGTAAATTTATATCCTTTATTTTAGAAGGACGAAAGTAAATTTATAACATTCCACTATTTGATACCCAAAACTCGGCTCTCTGCTACATGTAAGGCATATTCACCATATTACATTACTCTAACATCTCAAGACTGAAGGCACACTCCATCCATGGGGCAGAATTTCTCTTTATCTGAGGAACTGGCAGGTATGGAATACAGCTTCTCTATTTCTAAATAAAGCACAATAGTGGAACAGGCACAATGTATACACTTCCATTACCCAACTGGAAAGAAAGAAGGATAAAGGACATCAAGCAAATCCAAAACAAAATCGTTTGCATTAACTCTTAAGGATTGAAATGAATCCTCTACAATTATAGGCCTCCTCCTGTCTGGAACACATAAGAGGGGAAAAAAATATATCCAAAGGCCTAATGGGCCACACAAACCCCGGACCAGAAGAATCTGATCGTGCTGGGCTACCACCACTGACCTCCTTCAAAGGGATCACAGTAGAAAGTTCTAAAAGAGTGGGGAAAATATATAACAAAGCTCAAAAACAGTTAAAAAAAAAAGGGCCAGGTTCACGAGTCTGGTAGAGAAGAGTGGAACTTCCAAACTATGGACCTTAGTCACCCTTCAAACTTGGAACAAAACTCATACTTATGGCTCAACTTTCAATCGAGTAAGCAGGCCTCCAAGGCGACCAGCTGCACTTAGAAGGTACTCACTTCTTAGAATAACAAACCATATAAAGTCATGAGCAACACCTGCCCAAGGATAAATCCCTGAAGGCAGGACAGGGTAGGACAGAAGGATAATGGAAATGAGAATTGCAGAGGAGAAGTAGAGAAAATGATATTACATTGTGGGCATTGCAATTAATGTTATAAAACAAAATATGTGTAAATGATTCACTGAAAAACAAATATGTTTATAAATTTTCACTCAGATCACAATTTAACAATCCTCTGAGGCCACCTGGGCAATAGCCCTGTCATTCACACTCTGCGTATTGACCATGCTCTCTGGATTCTGAATGAATTCCCTTGGTCACCTGAGTGTGGACCCCACACTCTCAGCACTGACAGGTCCCATTCTTCTGCCCCTTAGACGTGGCAGCTCCAACACCTCAGATCTGAGTGGTGGGATCATATCCCTTACACACCTTAACAGCAGCCTAAATCAAGTCAGAAAACCCTACTCTTTAAACCTTAGAGAGCTGTGGCCCCACCATTTGTGATTCTGGAGACTGTGGCCTCACCATTGGAAAGCCAGAGACTCTACACCCCATGCTCTTTCTAATAGCCCTGCTGATCTTCAAGCTGGTTCAGGGAGGGTCCTTCTCTTTTCATCACAGGTCAACAGCTGTAGCTCCTGTGGTGTGCTGCCTGCAGTTCAGAACAGAAGTCCGAATTGAGGGCACCAGCCCTAGGGGAATGCTTTCACTCTAGCCAACTCTTAGGAGGGGTCCTTGTGCCTTTGAACTTCTGCTCCTGGGCAATCTTCATGTGTCTGGGCATCTCTTTTCCTTTGTCTCTGCTTTTTTCCTGGTTTGTTTAATCTTTTTTTTATCTCAAAAAGAGATTGACTTAAAATACATTTTGCAGGAATCCTTTGTCATTAATATAACAAGAGACAATCCTCTCTCAAATGGGATTATAACCACAGGTACTGAGGCTGACCTTTACAACACATATTTTGGGGGAACACAATTCAATCCAAAACAGATGTCCTCTCAACACTGTTCTAAATCACAGTAATGTAAACCATAAATGAGGAAACATAAAACTTAGCCAGCTTTGGGTCCTGGTCCCTTGAGTAATACACCTTGACTGACACACATACACACAAAGGTTACATAAGATTAGCAACAGATCAACACTCTGTTATCACATAGAAATATGAAACGCTAACTAAATAGCATGATATGAATACTAGTATCTAGATCAAAGGTTAAATGACACAACCAAGAACCTATGAAATCTCCCCTTCCTGGGAAAATACACTTGAAAATCCAAATGTAAATGTAAAAGGTATCTTTATTGTGATAGTACTAACTCTAAATTAGTAACTAAAATATTTTTCATTGATTTGAATCCATATCACCATTTGTAGAGTCAACATTTCTACAATACTTGCTACTGGCTATTGGCTTTGATTCACGTAAACCAAAATCATCAGGACTATTCAGATGATCTGGTACTGTTTACGTCTCCACTTGGACACAGCCGCAGCAGCCCTGCATAAAATCACACCAAAGGTGTCTATGAAACACCAAACATGCATCTACAATATTTAAGCATATGTAGCAGCTCTGATTTATTAGCCCCAGAGAGAATAAACACAAAAAGGACAAGCACACTGTTCTCTAGAGTTCTGAGTCATAATTTCCAGTTTTATGAAATGTCTAATGCATCTCTGACCTGGTTTCTTTTTGAGGGAAGCTTGGTAAAAGGCAAGGGAAATGCTTCCATTGGAGGAAGGTACTGTGAGGAACTGGAACACTCTGGACTAATATAAAGTGGAGGCAGGCAGCCAAATGGAAGGTGACGATGAGTGGGACTGATTAGTTACTGCAGTGGCTGGTTGTGGAGATAGTGACAAAGGACTGATTCTGTTGGAATAATGAGGCAGCAGGGTACTACCTCTGGAAACTACTCTTGGATCACTTTGAATTCTTCAGAGGTAGGTCAAGGCAGTGTGACTGCAGAAGTACGTTTGTGGCTGTTGAGCGTCCCTATGGTTAAGCATTTGGCCACTAACCAAAAGGCTGATGGTTCAAATCCACCTGATGGCTCTGCAGGAGAAAAGCCTAGAGACCTGTTCCAGGGAAGATCACAGCCTAGAAGAACCCACGGGGCAGCTCTCCTGTCACACAAGGTCACTAGGAGTCAGAATTGGTTTGGCCACACTCAACAACATAATTTATGCAATTAGTCAATTGTGTCAATGAGCACAAAGAAAACCATCAGACTTTACCAGTGTCATCTTACCGCATCTCTCACCAGACCAGCAAGTGTGCAGAACGCAGCTGTACAAATAACCAAGCCAGAGCCTCAGAGAGCACCCGCCTCCCCCCTACATACCCTCCAGCCACCACTAAGCTTTCTTGCACAGCAATTCATCTGATTAGTTTAAAGAGCAATAAAGAAAGTTAGTGAAACCAGGAGAAAATGATGATCTCAATTTAACCACAAACCAAGAGTAATGCGGCCAGAATTACTGCCACCTTCCCAAAGTTACTTTGCCCATGCAATTAAATGCAGGTCTGAAGGTATCGCCTTTTTGACAGGATGAGAGATTATTTCACTCTCCTTGCTAAATCAGTCCAATTTAAAACCACAAATTATGCTAAATGTGATTTAGGGCTTTGTTTGGGAGACACAAACAATAACCCCACATTCAATTTACGAAACCTCTCGCTGCCTTTTGGTGTGCATGTGGCTTTCTGGTTGAATAAGCCATTCAAGCAGGAACAAAAGAAGTAAGCAGTTGATATTCTTCCTAAACTATAGAGCATTTCCCCCCAGCCATGGTAAAAGAGGAAATGTATATGTGAACCAATACGGATGGGGCAGCTTTCATTCTTTCAATCAACATTGACAAAACACTTATTATATGCACAGTGCCAGATTCCCAGCACCTAACACTTCACTATTTTAGAGTGAAAGTAAGAGAAACGTGCCATTTTTAAAACAGGAAATTACAAAAGAAGAGGTGAAATCAGTCAGTCTAAAAGAGGCAACTCTGATTATATTTACAAGAGCTATTTTGAAGAAATAAATCCATTGCATTGAGTTGCTTCCAACTCACACTGGCCCTCCATCACGTTGCTGAGGTTGTAAATCTTAGTATTAGGGAATGACCCATATTTCTCAAAAAAAACAGCTGGAGGAATTGAACTGCCAATTCCTTTTTAGGTTTTCAGCACAATTCAATACTGACTATAGCACCAGAACTCCTCATATTCAGAAGAGGCAACCAGATACGTATCTAAGTTTATTATGAGTTATGAGGGAGTTTTTGTAACCTAGTAGTAAGACACTGCACTTCCAACCTAAAGGCATGTGGTTCAAATACACCAGCTGCTCCAAGGGAGAGATGCGGGCAATCTGTTCCCAGGCAATTTACTGCCTCTGAAAAGACACTGGTGGGTCAGCTATAAATCAGTTGTGGCAGGATGGTGCACCACAACAGGAGTCAGCATTAGGGTGTTCTGGTGGC